CGGACTCGACGGCCGCCGCAGTGGCTAAGTGACTACGAAATGTGAGGCGTATTCAGGGACTCGTCTGTGCGTGTAGTGTTCACTGTACATACCGTATGTGTTTTGATGCTTCATTGTATGTGTTGAGAGGCGGCGTTGGCTGGCGGGGGGAGATGTAACAGAGTAAACGTGTTTGGTTCTTTGTCGCCAAGCCGCCCTGCGCCGCGCGCCCATAGATATCTTGTGTCGGAGTTTGCATCTCCACTGTCCGTTGCCATGGCGACGCCGCGCGACGCGGCGTGGCGAGAGACGCGGCGGGAAGGCAGTCGAGCTTGGACACCCGCGGGGGAATGTTGTCGCGGTTTAAGTGGCAATACAGTTTTTGCCGTTAATCGAGACTCTCGAGCTGGAAACCGGAAAGTACACGCGACCGGTAACAAGGGAAGGGGATTGTAGGGTAGGGTTGGGTAGGGGATTGTAGGGTAGGGTAGGGTAGGGTAGGGGATTGTAGGGGATTGTAGGGTAGGGTAGGGTAGGGCAGGGTAGGGTAGGGTAGGGTAGGGTAGTTAGGTAAGGTAGAGTTAGGTAGGGTAGGGTAGGGTAGGGTAGGGTAGGGTAGGGTAGGGTAGGGTAAGGTAGGGTAGGGTAGTGTAAGGGTAGGGTATGGTAGGGTAGGGTAGGGTAGGGTAGGGTAGTGTAAGGGTAGGGTAGAGTATGGTAGGGTAGGGTAGGTTAGTGTAGGAGTAGGGTAGGGTAGGGTAGGAGTAGGGTAGAATAGGGTAGGGTAGGGTAGGGTAGGGTAGTGTAAGGGTAGGGTATGGTAGGGTAGGGTAGGGTAGGGTAGTGTAAGGGTAGGGTAGGGTAGGGTAGTGTAAAGGTAGGGTAAGGTAGGGTATGGTAGGGTAGGGTAGGGTAGGAGTAGGGTAGGGTAGGGTAGGGTAGGAGTAGGGTAGGGTAGGGTAGGGTAGGGTAAGGGTAGGGTAAGGTAGGGTGGGGTAGGGTAGGGTAGGAGTAGGGTAGGGTAGGGTAGGGTAGGGTAGGGTAGGGTAGGGTAGGGTAGGGTAGGGTAGGTAGGGTAGGGTAGGGTAGGGTAGGGTAGGTAGGGTAGGGTAGGGTAGTGGTAAGGTAGGGTAGGGTGGTGTAGTGTAGGGTAGGGTATGGTAGGGTAGGGTAGGGTAGGATAGGGTAGGGTAGGGTAGGGTTGCGTTCAGTAACATCTTAACTTACAAAGGGCTCGAAGAACTCGCATGCATCACCATCATACTTTACAGTTCAATTAAAAGCAGTTACCCACTTCTACAAAAATCATACCAATAAAAATGCAAGTTTCTACACCCAAACTAATGCATCCGTTAATCATACATATCAAAACATACAGTTATCGCGTAAACCTGTACCTCTAGTTGTACCTAAAATATAAGTGCACTGATTGGCCCCGGTACACTTTGCAGCGTTGTGCGGCAGCCAGCAATGCGACTACCCGGATCAGTGTGAGAACAGACCCAACGGTGTGTCGGTGTGCGTGAAGAGCCCGGCCCCGACCTGTGACGGTGTCACCTGTCCCGCCGGCCAGCAGTGCATTCTGCAGGACGACCTCGTGCACGGGCCTGCCCTGCAACCCGCAGCCCACCTGTGTTACCAGCAGTGAGTAATGGCCTCTCTTATGGCATCCGTAAGAGATCTAATTTCATTTACTTCGTAGACAATCAATAGGTACGTATTGCACCATATGCATACGGCCTGTCAATAAATGCAATTGTATGGGCAACACAGCATTTTTTTAAATTCATACACGCTGTAAGGCCTGCAAAACATCTCATTGACCGTTTTAACGACGGGATTTTTGCGGTGGAACCTATTTGATATCTGAAAGTGCCAACTCTTTAAGGCCTCAGAATCCTTACAACTAAAGTCGTTTGCCTTCAAAATATTTTCAAAAGTTGTAATCCAGGCGATTTGCATCATCAAATCGCTTATTTATTTACAAAAAAAAATCAATTTTCGGTTCTGGTAGCCCATCTTTCAACCATGAGGGATCAAATCAGCCTGGTACCGAGATACTAGATAGGTACCCGTCTTCTGTTTCACCTGCCCGACGCTGTGCACGCCCTGATGGTGCCCGGGCGCATCAAGTCCGCCGCCACCTTAGCAGTGACCTTGACCTCAGCCGTCTACTGCAGCTCCAAAGCCAAGCCAGCGTGGAATTGGAAGAGCTCTGTCACCCGCAGCTGGCAGCTCAGTATATTTTCTAATCATTGCACTAGCATGATATAGATTTGAGAATTTCATAAACGTGAGGTTTACATGAGTGGTAAACCCTTAGATAAAATAAATCAATGTAATATCTAGAAGAAAAAAGTAACGGGCCACTCATTCGGAAGGTGGAAACATTACTATAAAGACCTACCAAAATTCCAGAGGCATCAACAGACCAAACAGGTATCTATTACGCGTAGGTACCCGCTATTCCGTTGTGAAAACGGTTATTGCATACCTACGTCATATAGGTACATGTCTATTTATTACCTCTTTCATTGCTTTTGCATTCTTTCCTGGTGTTCAAAAGGCAATATGAGATGTTCGAAAACGTTCAGCTTACTTTGTGCTTGATCATTGTTGTGAAATGATTCTTTGCCACTTACCTGGAATGAATAACACTTTATACCATAAAAATAATGTTCTGTTTTTTTTTCACAGATTTATGTGCGCCCTGTATCGCTCCAAACGAGTTTTGTCAGCTGCTACCGTCTCCAGTATGCCGGTTCGTTGTGGAGCCACGCTGTAACAACAAAGTCTGTCCGGCGGGGCAGACTTGCACTGAGGTGCCTCTCGTGTGCAAACGCGCCCCCTGTGGCGTTCAACTCATCTGTGGCTAGATACATGTTTCAGAGGAATGCTGCCAGTTTCCAAGAGCAGCTGATAAAGACGCTCTACGCGCAGGGTTGGAGATGGGAATGCTGAATTCCGAAAGCAACTACATCTTTTTCGGACGATATTTGATCTTTTCATAATTGAAATGCGTGAATACAGGATTAAATGCAGCATGTGTTATTATTTATACAGCCCACATGAAATAGGACGAGGTCGCATACAAAAAAATATGGCCGTTCTGGAATAACCAGTTAACAAAAAGATAAGCTCATTTCTTACAATTTAGCTGTGAGTATGCCTTTTCTTGCGATATATGTAGAGATAGACTATGTCAACGACTTTTCTTTCTTTGGAGCTCCTGTCATCATGTTGGTGCAGTCGCTTACAACTCGAGGAATCCCAAGGAAACTCCGTTCGTTCCAATAACGATGACGGACGACATTGATAATAAAGCGAACACTTCATTTACCTTGTATTTTTATAATTACCAAAGACGTTGAACACTCTTCACATCATTTTAGCGGCACGCTGCTGCAATTACTACGAAGTCCTGTCTCGGGGAAATTGCGCATGTGGGAAAAGTGAAAGGGAAATATTGATTTATTACGATTATGCTGCGACTATAGTCACAATAAAAGATAGCCGTTCGTTGGGAATTCAGAGTAATTCTACGCACTCTTTATCTTTGTCGCCAGTCCTGTCTTTTTAAATAGTGTGCTGCTCATTGCTTTATTCTACTATCGCGATACAGTTTGTGATACTTTAAAGGTGCAGCTGCATCGCTGCCTTAATCTTCAAGCATATTTTCTCAAATTCGAAGACGTCACTGCACGTTTTTCCTTGTGAAAGGCAAAGACACCAACTTCCAGAATATTCCATAGGTTTCTCGCTGCAGCGCAGCCACCATCGTAATGCCTCGTCCGACAGGGGAGCGTCAGCTTTCGTCGGCCGGCCGCCGGGGCCCGTCACACCATTTTAGGAGGTCGGTGCCGGAAAAATGGCGTTCCGTGCGGGCTGCAGGAGGGGCTCCGTCTACATCCAGGGGCGGGGCGAGGCATCGTGGAGGGGGGGGGGGGGGAGCGGTACCGTCGCGCAGTTGACCGTTCGTGGGCGGCAAATGACGCGGAAACAACACAACACCCGCACATTGTTGACGTAATGCTGACGTCATTTGGAGCGCAGAATTGGACGTTTATTTAAACTGCGTGGGTTTATGAGGCATCTTTTATCCGATAAACTTTCCTTTTTCTTGAAAATCTCCAAACTTTCACACATAGGAACTGGAATTGCTCTTACTGTTGTTATAGCGACCTTTTAATTTCATAGACAGCTTGTTGCCAGTAACGTAAACTTCCTTCAGATTTATTTAAAACCATAATCATACCCATTACCCACTCTGAACTAGAAAATGTATGCTGAGCGAAAGAGGCGCTCAATCAGTCTTTCAAGTAACGATGACGGACCGGGTGGTATGTCAGGTAGTAGGTTCTGCAGGTGCGCCATCACTTCGGCGCCTATTGTATAAATCGGCAATCGCTCCGATGCCATGTTGTCTATGATACAACCCTCCCCGTTAGGGTGCCTAACTATTCATCACTAACTATTAGTCGTGGCAACAAGTCTCTACGTGAGGTGCGAGCATGTTGTGTGCGGATAAATAAAAACGGTCTCGCGAAACTACTCTTTGTATATTTCAGTACCCTGATTCCGGTTTTGCGCCTAAGTATACGCACTGCGTACCTATATCATATCACCGACTCCTGAAACTCGTCGGAAAACGATCTAAGCATTGTAATATAATTCCGTTGTCAATTTCGCTGACTGCCAAAGCGGCAAGACTGTGAATCAAATATCGTTTTGAGACATTGGACACAACGGATACGAAAATACCTGATATATTTATTGTGGATGCAATAACAGGGATAAATAATATCAGCTGATGGAAACATGAGCGTCCATATATATGTATCACGATGTAAAATGTACACATTCATTCAACTGCAACATGCCGCACAATATTTGGATACTAATACTTCTCGCGTTAAATATATGATCACTGCAGTTAGTTTAGCATTTATTCGACATTGTAAATAAGCTTGCAAAATTTTGGTCCCCATATATAAAGCAGTTGTTAATTGAAAAACTACAGAGACATGAAAAGGATATTATTAAACAATATCCATATTATATGACAAAGAGCGAAATTTAATTCTCAATGATACGCAGGCTTACGGCTCTTTACCGTGCAATATTAGACACCAACATTGGTGCAGTTCACGACCTATGGCACTTAGTAGCCGAAAAGTTGCGACCATATCCCGCCAGCGGGCCTATGTCGGCCGTTCCCATTCACAAAGTCTGCGATATTCAGCTGTTTTCTTCAACTGAGCCGTGCTGCAGATCATGCTTGTAGTCGTAGCTCGTAGTCGACTTCGCATTAGCTATCCTGCCTGAACACTGCTTAAAGCGCCTGGTCGGGTTCTTCTTCTTCGTCTTCGTCCTCAGTGTCGCTCTCTTCCTCCTCTTCCTCGGCCTGTTGTTCGGCCGGCGGCTCCTGACCGCCCTGGACCTCGGTTTTGCCTCCGGCCGAGCTGTCCACAGACGGCACAGTGTTGACCACGCCGGCAGCGTGTGACACCGGGTGGCTGAAGCCGAACCTGTTGTCGGAGTAGTGGTCCTGAGAGCCGGACGAGTGTCCGGAGGATCCTCCGTCTGCTCCGGCTCCGGCACCGCCCGCTCCGGCTCCATCGGTGCCTGCTCCGCCGGCGCTGCCGCCCGCGAAGGCGTCACCGAAGAGGCCGCTGTAGTCGAACGGCTGGAAGGTGTCCCAGTTGCCTCCGGTGCTGGCGGCTCCTTGAGAGATGGCGGCGCTGTAGCTGCTGAAGTCGCCAAATCCTCCGGCTCCGCCTGCCCCTCCACCTCCGCTGTAAGAGGTGGTGACCTCGGGTCCTCCAGCTCTGCCTCCTCCTGATCCTCCGTCACCGCCGTAACCACCGGCACCACCGGTAACCGAGGGTTCACCGTAACCACCGGTACCGCCAGAACCTCCTCCGTAGCCACCAGAACCACCAGCACCAGGGGTAACCACAGGCTCGCTGTAACCACCGTAACCGCCAGTACCTCCGTAACCACCGGTTCCACCGGCTCCGGTGGTAGCCGCTGGTTGGCTGTAACCGCCGGCACCTCCGTAACCACCAGCGTCAGCAGTAGCCAAGGGCTCGCTGTAACCGGCACCAGCGGTAACCACGGGCTCGCTGTAGCCGCTAGCTCCACCGGCACTGCCTCCGCCACCACCACTAGCATCACCGGCACCGGCGGCCCCAGCCAGACGACCAGCGATGAACGCCTTCTCAACGTCGGCATTGAACCCGTTGAAGGCGTTGAAGACGCCTCCCAGAGCGCTGACGGCACCCCCTGCCTTCTTCGTGGCGACACCAGGAGCGTTCTTGGAGCCGCCTTCGCCATCGGAGGCGTAGTGGTACGGCCAGGTCGACGCGCAGGAGAACTTGACGCGGCACGGCGGGTAGGTGCATTCGAGAGGTTCCTTCTTGCACATCTCTCCGAAGCCGCACTTCTTGTTTAGGCAGGTGGGCTCGACTACGTGCCGACAGACCGGGGTCGGTAGGAGCTCGCAGAAGTGGTCCGGCGACAGACAGATGCCGCATGGATCTAAAACAGAAAGGAGAAGTGTTAGTGCACTGTGCAAAGAGTTGACGCGAGAGAAATATGGTTATGAAGTAAATGTTTAAAGTGTTCTAAGTAAATATCCACTGCCTCATCTTCGAATTGTGTGTCACAGTAAGATGAGTTGACCTACAATTAAAAAGAAATCACCTTGCAACCTAGTCCTGCGTTAAGCTTATGGAGCAGATGCGAGCAGATGCGAAGTTATTTCATTCGTGCAGATGCGAAGTTGATGAGCAACCATGGAAATCAGCAAATTTATCGGTTTACAAAGCAAAGCTCACTACTGATTTGTATCTCTAAGGCTAGGCATATTTACTTACTGTGTTTGACACAGTAGGCCTTGGGGTGACAGGGGAGTGTGTCGCACACGTCTTGGAGAAGTGCGCACTCGTGCTTGGGCGGACACTTGATGTCAGAACACTTGGGCGTGTTGGTGCGCACACACACGTTCACTCCGAGGAAAGGAAGACACACGTTCGGTGCGAAACAAGCCTGCTTGCCGCAGAACGTCAGCTTGCCCTCTGAAACGGAGAACGGGATTGTGGTTAATTCAGTATTCTGGAATATCTTTAACAGTAGCTATATGGAAGAAATATGAAGTCACAAATGACCCCTGAGATTCCACGGTAACACAACTCGTTGAAGTAGTTGTTGGTAGCAAACATGAGCCACTGGTCCTTCGAGAACAAGGGTCATCGTGCACTAGGTCATCACACTTTTGGTCTCTTGTTCTTTGTATGCTCTTGTGCTGCGTCCCTCACGCTCCTCACCTTCCATCATGGTGACCATGGAGGCCCCGGCATTGCCGGCGGCCACCACGAGTATCAGCGCTGCCAGCTGCGCTGTCGGCCCCACCATGGCTGTACGAATGGAGCGCCGCCGGACAGCGCACCCCTCTAAATAGGCGCGGCTCGGCTGGACCGCGCGGCATGGACTGCGGCGGCGGGCATCGCGTGTCGCTCGACATACCGCGCCGGCCACTCGAGAAAAGATTACTTGCCGCGCAGCCGACGGGAGCCGCGCGCCGGCGAGACTTTCCTGTCGGGAAACAGGGCGAGAGGGCGGCTCGGGCGCGCGAGCGGGGCGACAGGAAGCCGTCGACGGTGTGCTAGATGACGCCTGAGAAATGATTGATTGGTGTAATTACAAGTGAGATAAGGAATGCTGAAAAGGATAAGTTTGCATTCCCTTATGGACGCTTGTGAGTGAAGGACTTATCTCGACTCGAGATACGGAAGGTCGAGCCAAAAATGTCCTGTCAAATGCTCAGTTATCCGGTATCCCCCAACACCAGCGTCTTTACGCCGAGAGTTTTCCGTGTAGAAATGTATGTAACGCATGTAGGAAAATACATTTAACGGGATGAAAGCGAACACTGCTCCTTATCTGACGTATCAAGTCAGTCAATATAGGTTCAAAATTCATCGATAGATTTGTCTTACTTCCTCATCGGTTATCGATGACAACGAATGCTCCTTTATCCATCAGGAAGGCAATGCGTTAACCTGCTTCACTTCTAATGATCCATATACCTAAAACGGTGCAAAATAATTTCTTAAGTCAGGGAATCGTTCAAGGGGCATAAATGTGTATTGTATAAATATGCGTAGCACGGAATGTGTATGCAAGAACATGGCGATGTGGCTGGTGGCGTCATAAGTTGCAATTAACCCACGAGCCGCTGGGGGGGGGGGGCATAAAGTTGCCCCCCCCCTTTACGTTTTGTGAAATATCTCCGAAACCTGATGAGCTACGAACGTGAAACTTGGCATAGCTTCAAATGAATACCTAGGCAATGTTTGAGGAAAGTTTGGTGGTTGTAGCACCTAAGATGACGTCACAGTGACGTCATAAAGTTTTGTCGTTTTCCGATATGGACCGTTTCTGATGACGCTGAGCATGAAACTCGACTGTAAATGAACTAGACAGCACCTGCTGTCATCCTAAAACATCTTACTACACTTCCATCTAGTTTCTGACCAATAATCGGCCCTTTATATTCGGTCCCATATATGTGATGTATCGTGAGGAATATGAGAGTCGCAAATCTATAATTTCACTTATGACGTCACTGTGACGTCATTTCAAATGGGATCGAAACCAAATTTGGACACAACCTCGGCTAGGTATTCAGGAAGATGTGTGCAAAGTTTCGTTTCTCTATCTCTACGCGTTGCGACGATATCGTCGCAGAAGTAAAGGGGGGGGCAACTTTATGCCCCCCCCCCCCAGCGGCCGGCGGGTGGCGCGGAGGCCCAGCGGCCGCCGGGTTAAGCGTTGAGGACTGTCATTTCAATAATGGACAACAACACATGAATGTGTACGTACGACAAAGCAGCTCCATTTTGTTTGACAATTCTGGAAACAGACGAACTTGACAGTTCTGCTTCTAGCACGCTAATAATGCGAAATACGAAACCGGTTTTTGTAAATCACACAATGTAATTATCGTACAAACGCACCGCAGCGCAGCTACATTTCCGCGTTAGAAAACAATAAAAGAGAAATATACCTACTGAGAACGTTGGTAGCTTCATTCACCCGTTACTTCGAAACGTGCCTTCAACATACGAATGGATACCGAACAATAGCTGAACTTGTCAGCTGTACCAATTGCACGTAATAGCCTTGTCCATATTAGTAAAATCATTATATCACTTGTTCTTTTACAGCTTCGTGGATATGTGACATGCGAATAGTAGCGATCATATTCAACGCTTGTGCAAGTGGTCAATGTTATACTTGCAGGACGTTTACCTGCCGCATGATTGGTCGTGCAAAGTACACATTAGGTACAGTTTACACACTGCACGGAGCACGCGCGTGCAGATAAGCAAGTGGAGCTTGTGTCTGCACTTAGGCATATTAAACTCTATAGTCAACTCCCAGTGCTCACACGACCCCTTGTGCCACTAGTTAGTCAGACCTGCGGTCACCTGCGCGGCTTATGTGAGCTCTGAGTGAATCACAGTGGCTTACAGTGCATCATAGTCTGCAACGACCTTGCATGCGCAAATCGGTCTGACTCGCCCACCACCCACGGTCCTGCACCCATGCACGCTGTGCCATGTCATGTGTGGGAAGAAAGTGATTTTCCTGGTAGATTTTGTTGTCTGAAAATAAAAGACTCCGAGGCTTACGGACTTCAGTGGAGTATTACGACTGAAGGTGATTAATCAAAACTATCTTAGCTTTCGTAACCTCATACAGCCTTCTGATCATACGCTCATCGCAGCACAGTGCAAAAACAACAACTAAAAATGCGGTTTGTATATCAGCCATTTGTTTGAAGTTTTGAACGCCATGAATTGGCTTTTATTTAACCCGCGCCGGGCCGGGGGGGGGGGGGTGTTTGAACAGCCCCCCCTGCGGTCTTTCGCAGATATCTCAAAAACGGCGGCGCTCCGCGCCGCCGTTTTTGGCACACCTATTTGGACATCTATTCCGCACATGTTGTGCAAATTTCAGACCCAGGTCGCCTTAGGTCATGTCACCAGGTCACGCCAAGTGACCTCACCTCAGGAAAAAATAAAAATGTTCGTCATAGCTACACCAATTGATCGATATCCTTGACACTTTCAGTGATTGATTAGAGCAACAATATCTATAAAGTCTTTATCTCGGAATTTTGATATCGGTGACCTAAGGTCAGGTCAATCTTACGACCTCTCCATTAAAGTCAATGGAAGAAAATTGAAAAGCGTCTGTTTTGCAGGAGCGGTATTCTAGACACTCTCAAACATCGAGATGTAGGTAAAATTAACACACTGAACCGGAAAATGGCAACTGTGACCCCTGGTTATGTCCCCGAGGTCATCTCAGGTCACGAACAGAATCTAACAGCTTTTCGCTAATAACTTCTGATAGAGGCGTTCTAGAGCGCTGAAAACGCATTATTAGATATGTTCGGCTCGACGTTTCGGATCGACTGATATGCAACATGACCTTTTCCGGTCTGGTCATGACCTTGACCTGAGGTCAAATTTTCAAGTTGACCTTTCAAGTTCAAATTATAGTTCATTCGACGCGTCTCGACGAGAGGAACACGATGCTGGCAAAAATAATGTCATGGCTCTTTTGAGTCAAAAGTTATTGCCGAAAAAATGTTTTTCGCAAAAACGGCTATTTTTTAGTTTTTGCCCTCTGGAGGCTAAACCGTTGACCTGAGGTCAAATCTGAAAGCATTATTCAGAAAGTTCTGTAAAATGGCTATCGAATGCGCTTTTCTGCGGTTCTGTAGCTCTATCGGTTCCCGAGATAGCCGTTGGCAGTTTCCAAAATGTTGAAATAGTCAACATTTTACCTTTTGTGACCTCTGGTGACCTGACCTTTGACCTGACCCAAAAAATTAATGAAGTGTTTTCGTCCTTATCTTGGACGACGTTCTTTCGATTGCCGCTTACCTTTGACCTGACCCAAAAAATTAATGAAGTGTTTTCGTCCTTATCTTGGACGACGTTCTTTCGATTGCCGCTTACTGCGGCAATCGCTACGTGGCAATCGCTACTGTCGCTACGTGGCCCAGGAGCCGAGATAGAAGGGGGGTTGTTCAGACCCCCCCCCCCCCCCGGCCCGGCGCGGAATCTCAGAGCACCGGCCCGGCGCGGGTTAAGGACACCTTAGAGCATCGTTCTGATTTTGGTGATATGTTGCCCGATTTGTTATCCCGCTGTCATCTCGCTCTCGAGTCTCGAGCAAAAAAGTACCCTTAGTTTGTGTTCGCCGATTTTGAATAGGTCTGTACCCGGTGTAAAAGATAGGTACGACCAGCTATAAAAAAAGGTTGCGATGGGACAGAAGAGCCCTGATGGGACATCCCGCACCGCCACCCAAACGGTCACTCCTGAGGGGCTGTGTCTCAGATGGTGGGCCTGAAAGATGGGCCGAGGAGGCTGAAAGAGCCTAAATCGAAAGAGCCTATGAGATGATAGGATGGGGTGTAGACATTGAACTGCTTGGACCATCGACAGTGAGCTGCAGCGGCAAGAGACCATTCGGGAGGGGCTACCAGCCCTGTCACTCAAACGGCCACCCCGGAGAGGGTGGAGTCCGGGTGTCGACTTGCCTTCACCACCGGTCATCTGTTAGCGGTGTGACCGCCAGCCCGGAAAGGTGAAGCGTGAGGGATGCAGATGCGTTTGTCCTGAAGAAGGCATGGAAGGATGATAATGGGTATGCAAGACACCGGTCTCCCCACTCAGTAGGACTGAGGGCCTGAGTGTACCATCATATCAGCCAGACCAGCGCTGCACTGTTCACCATACGACACCTGGCGATAGAGAGCCGTACTAGGAGGAGGTGAACTGTGCTGCCATCTACTGCCGTGCACACCTAACTTTGGGAGTGAGTGATGGGGACGACCTCTCCGCTTTTTCAAGTTGATGCGGCTTCAGTCCCTTCAAAGTTGTCAAATGTCAGGTCAAGGGTTCCTGAAGGCTCATCCACCTCCAAGGCATGCTAATAAGTTTAATGGAATCAAGATATGGAAACAGAGCCGGGAGCCATTTCAATGCCCCCAAGCCCCAATTGGGCCTCACCTAACTTCGTCATGATGAGGAGGGGAGGGTCGCAAATCGACACACCCCATTACCTCTAGTCACCGTTGCGTCACTTCCATACACAGGACAGTCAAATCCTTCTCCTCCATTCCTCAAACCTCCTGATCAGAACTGGACGGTCACCTTTATTCGACGTGGGTAGCTCCTCAACGGCAGCCCATCGTGCGTTGGGGTGACCGTTAGCGGGGCTGGGTGGCCTGTCTTTTGCGAGCGCATGGGTCCATGGTGCCGGCCTCAGCCCCGGCGGCGTACCAAGCAGCCCATACCAATGTCTCCCCCTTGTTCTAAGTATTCCCCGGCTATGAAAAAGTCCTCGAGTTCTCGTTTTTTAGGGGAATAACTTCACAAACAATAGTCACAGAGCCCATTTTGACAGCGTCGTGGTAATTATGGTGAGGTGCGTCGAAAAGCGTACTTTTTGTTCGGGTGAGGTCAATATAGAGTGTAAACCTTAGGCCAAGTTCAGGTAAAAGCCTCTCAGACTACGAGGCAGGTCAAAGGAACATATGTTGCAAGGTAACATTCGATTCGGCAGACCTTTGTAAGTAAATTGGTG